AAGCTCCGAAATCGCCTCGCGGAATGTGTCATGCTTTGGGCTGCACAGACACCTCTGTCGTCCCAGGAGATGAGTCTTGTACTCAAACACCTTATTTCCTCAACATTGACACCTGAAAAAGGCGGCGAAAAGGAGGCTGTGTCGATGCCACTCAATCATGGGAGTATCCACCTAATTATGGCCCTCCTCTTTTCGCTAGAGCCATTTGGAACACCTGGAATTAATGTCGATCAATATGCCGATGCCGACGAGCAAGGTGTGCCTCCTTCGTTCTATTTTCATGACATTAATCACTGATCAAACATTAGTAACTTCTCACAGCTCTCCTATGTTCTAACTGCTATTAAAGTCGTTTCGTTCAGTTTTTTATTAAGTGACAATTCGTCTGGCCACTTTTCCCGGCAACCCTTCAACATTATGCACCCATTTGGTAGGACACGCCTAGTTAATTGCAGATTTTCAGCGTATCCGTAGTTAGTGATCGTAGTTCGCCTCTCGAACCTCTATTTTGTTTGCTCCTTTTAGACCTCCTTCATCCAATTTTCTCGGAAGCCGGTTACGTGGCTACCGTAACGGAATTATTCACGCAAGTAGGCGTCGCAGATCAGCCACCTTCAGCCGCGGTCGAAGGTCTTTATGGTTTGCTTCAGTTGGCTTGGGGCATTGCGCTTCGTCGCACCACCCACCTCCGCATGGACCTGCGCCGTCGTGGCGACAATGCGAGCGGGACCAATGTCAACGCCAACGGAGACTCCGTGGATGAGGACGACTTGGTTGCCTCGGCGCTCAGATCAAGAACCATAGAATTCCTCTCCGTAGGTCTCCTATCGGAGCCGCATTTCCCGCAGGAGGTAAGCATCATTTCATGCCTCTGTCTCCTTCCCACTTCCACTAGGCTTTAATGCGCCAATGCGTTTCCGTTGCAGCCTCAGTGGGTGCACCGAGTCCATAACCTCCTCACCGAATTGCTAATCCAGTTCCCGCAAAACGTCCGCGATATTAGGCTGTGGGACGAATCTGTGGCCCGTCGAGTGGGTGTCGATCCGGGTGGCTTCGCGATCCTATTGGACGCCATTGGACGCCTCTACAACGTGCCCGGCTCTCCACTCCACGCTCGTCTTTCGTTGGAGTACTGGTGGCCGGCAGGGGAGACAGTAGTGGCGCCCTCCGAAGCCCTGAATGCCTCGTTTCGAGCTGGAGAAGTCGAGAATTCCAGACAGGTATGTGCGGTTGATTAGCACGTCCGGCACTTCACTTACACTTAATGCTTAAATTGTGCCGTTTTCAGGCTATCCTCTTCCGGTTTGTTTACTCGGCCAGCGAATTCGCCTCCTCACCCCTCATTTTTGTGTCCTACGTGCGAATTCTGCGCTCTCTCGTCGGTTGCCAGACCTCGTCCAACCTCTGTTTCAACCTCCTCAAAGCCACAGCTTCATCTGGAGGTAGGTCTAGTTTTCGCGTCTCTATGCATTGGTATGTAGTCCAATCCCAGCGTGCTAATGTGGCTTTAATCCACCAATCTAGGTCGGTTAGCCTCGCTCCTGACTTGGGACCACTTCATTACCAGCCTACAGCAGTACCTTGAGCATCTAAAGCGTGCAGCCGCCGTTGAACCGGACACGGGGAGCCAGCCACTTCACCTGCAGCACCCCCACCTCTACTACTCCATGGGTGGCCAAAGTCAGCGTGACCAGAAGCAACAAGCATCTCCTGTGCCCCTCGAAATCCAGCCCGAAGAACTGGAGGCGCTGCAGATAGTGGCGGCTTTAATCACCCGCGTCGCCGCATTGGTAGGTGCTTGCACTTCATGCCCCCAACTATCTATCCACCTACCTGAGTTTCATGTTGGCCTTACGCACTACTAGGACCCCGTCGCGCGCTCGGCATTCGCCACGAACACCAAGTGGTGTCTCATCCCCACAGCGGTTGGCCTAATCACCTGTCCCCTGCCGATGTCCATGAAGGCCGAGCTGTTGCACCTCCTGTCGGCCCTCTCCCGCACCCCCACCATCGCAGCCGAGGTCTGGCGCAATCTGTGGGAGAGCCGCCTCCTCTCCTTCATTGAGCCCTCCTCCAACCTGGCGGTCTCTGGCAGCCTCGCGTCCCTTCGAAGCGTTGTTGGACTGCATGTATGTGGTGTACCTTTTGAACTATTCCTTGTTTTTCGTTAGATGTATGACTGAAATCTTGCGGGTTTTTCTTTTGAGCTTAAAATTATTTCTGAAATGTGAACTTATTTTCATGGTATTTCGGTGTTCCGAAAGGACCGGACACAAGGTTCCTTAACATCACACGACCGATTTAAGTGCGTTACATAACCTCTCGGATTAGCAGAGTTTACAATTGCAACTGGTGAATACCACATTCGACGGCACAGCATTTTATGCGAAATCCAACAAGGAAAAATTGTTTTTAAAGTGTTCTCGGTGCTGCCGACGTCGTCTTTTGGAACGTGTAATTGTTAGCACAAACGTTGTAGAAGTGGTGATTTCGACCTTAGTGATCAGCCGTGCCCCGGACAGCAGCCTCGAAAGTGTGAAGATGCGGAGTCGCAAGCTCTACCGGATGAAGACTCAAGGCAAGGGCAACAAGAGCTTGCAGCAGCTGAGTTAGAAGACCGAAACAGCATATGCACTGAGCGTTTGCACGACCAAATGAGAAAAATGCGAAAACGTGGAAGTTGGGTCCCCTCGCATTTGTTGATTGAACAACCTAGGTCGACGTATGATGACACGCTTTCCAATGCTTGCCCGCCGGCTGCAAAAAAAGGACTTGTTGTGTAGCATTGTGACGTGATGAAAAGTGGATCATTTACGAGAATGCCAAACGCAAAAACATGTGAGCAGATGCCGACCAACTCAGTACATCGATGCTGAGACAGGACACCCACTTGATGAAGGTTCTCCCATGTGCGTGGTGACGCACGAAGGGTGTGCTTTATTACGAACCCCTGGAAACTGGTGACTGCAGAATGCCACACCCGACAATTGGAGAAATTGAGCGAAGAATTAGACGAGAAAAGACAATTTGCCAGACAGGTTAAGTCATTCTGCTGCTGCATGACAACGCTCGACCATCCCATGTTGGTCGTGCGTCTCAGAAGATCCCCTTGAACTTGGAATGGCGAGTTCTGCCACGCGCTCCATATTCAGCACACTTGGCCCCCCTTCTGACTACCATTTGCTGCAGCCAACGCAGCAGCAGCAGCGGCAGGCTTTGTTGGATAAACGGTTCCTCTAACGTTGGACGATGTGCGTGAATTCGTGGATGAATTGATTACCTCGAAGCTTGCAAGTTTGTTTCGTGACGACATTCGCACGTTACGCTAGAGATGGCGCGAGGGCATAGAATATGATGGACAATATTTCCAAGATTAAGTTTGCTGTTCTGTGTTCTTATATTCAAAATTCATTTGATGAATAATCTGAAAAAAAATTAAGCCTCCATGTTTACCCTGTTTATTGCCATCATACCCACTGTTTAGGCCAACATGTACTCGTTGTTCAACGTTTCGGATGGCCTTTGTTGTTCGTCTTATCTGGCGAGTTCTTCTGCTTTTGTTGAAGCCGCCGTTGTGTACACCAACTGCTTGTTATGTCGAACGCGGCTGTTACGGCTTTGACGAGATTCGTGATTCACACACGCTATGTTGTAGTCCTTTCATGCATTTCAACCTATTATGTAATGCCCTTAATCACCAATGTCTCGTGATTGCGTCAGACTGCTATTTTGTAGGCTAGACGCGTCTGCTCTTGTCCTTTGTTGCACTGAATGTTTCCCTTGTTCCTATTGGTCAGACTGAAATAGACAAGGCGGAAGCCCGTGTCGAGGAGTACCCCATCACTCTGGGTTTCATTAACCTCCTCACAACGTTGGCACCCTCTCTGTTGAATTGCCCCGCCACCGTCACAGGCTCCGAGTCGCCAACTCCTGCGACGGACACCGGCGAATCGATGTCGCGCCTCGTCCACTTCACCATCGAGACCGTCTTCCTGAAGCACACCATGCGTGCTTACCGCAGGCCAAACGAGAGGGTAGGGTTTTCTCAAGCTGACACCCTAAACCACGCACGCCTTTACTGACAATTTTGATGTTAGATCGCATGTTCAACGGAGTATGTAGCTGCGCCCGTGTAAGAGATGTGGGTGGTTAAGCATCGAGGTGGTTGTAAAGTGGTCAGAATACCATGCCCTATCCGCATTCTCTACCTCCATTCCTGGTTCTTCTTTCGTTTTCAAAGAAAGGTTACAGTCAGTTCGGTTTTTTATAGTTACCACAGAAGTCTTTTTCGGGTGCTCCTGTGTATACCTGGTTTTCCGCTGTTATGATTACGTGTTATCTAGTTTTGACCTCTGGAAACACGTTTGCTCACCCTCCTGCCTCTTTGTTTTGCCTAGTGGGAAATCGCGGCGTCTTGTGTGGTGCTTTTTGAGGGTCTAGTCCGGACCTTCCTTCATCGGATGCACTCAGTCGCGATTCTGAGTGCAGGCGCGAGCCGTTGCAGCGATGCCCAGCTGGCCACATTCGACTGGACCCCTCTGCTTAACGGACAGGTGAACTTGGCCAAACTCACGTTGCCTCGCGGCTGGCCGTTCACCGACCCGGGCTACCAAATTGTCGCCCAGTTGCTCACAAACTCGTCCCTCTTCTGCTTGGTAGGTTGTGGCTTTTGGCGTCGCTCAGTTTCTACTAACTCTCGATTGTTCTCCACTCTTTTATACGACTACGCCAAACCCCCAGTGAAAACTATTAATTTCCGTTTGTTTGTTTCTAGGTGTGAGAAAAGCAGGTGTCGTAAGTTACATCCAAGCGCTAAGTTCCTTGCTAATGACGCGAGATTTCCCAAATTGATTGCTTGGAAATCCAACGAGACAGATCATTGAAACAATAGTAGTATCTTCAATGTTATCATTGTTTTGGATCAAGTTATGGACCCAGATTTCGCTTGGGAACATGCTTTCTTCAGGTCGGTCGTAATTGAGGGCAAAACAAGTTCAGCCCGTCTCATTGGTTCCAATGTGATCTTTTTCTAGCTGACCGATCTGCTGGAAGTGGGATTGTACCGGTTGCTGGAGTACTCCGTTAACGCCTCCTCCTGCGCCATGGCACGGACCACAGCGGCGATCCTGCGTCTCTTCGACCAAATCCTTCCTCACGAGCAGATGGTCGTGAACCTCGTTCGTCGAGCAGCCCTGGTAATGCCTCATCTGCGGTAGGTACCCCTCCTCCCCGCCTGCCTGGCTTCACACAGAACCGCTTCGTCGTCTTTATAATTGATTTTTTTTCTTCACCCCAGACCAGAGACGGCGTGGGGTCAAAGGTCTGGCGCCAGTGTGATTTTGCCGTCTCTACTTTCGCGTCTTCTCGTGGTAACCATCAATTCGCGAACTGGCCGTGCCGACTTGCTTGTCACGATTGTCCGGTAAGTAATGCAAACTCCATCCTGCAATGAATTCATCAACAAACCTTCCTACCCCACACCCGTATGGACCTCGACCCAGTTAATCGTTGCATCATCTTTCATTCCAGGTACTGCGGCCTTTCCGACGACCTTCCGGATCATTGCACTTCTGCGCTAAACATTCTCTGCAGCGTTGTGCGCGCTGTTCAGCCCCACGACTCCGTGTTGGCGGTTTTCACAAGTGACAAGGTGTGTTTATTTCACCTAGTGAGTCCTATCTCGCATTCACAGCCGGGTTAATTGATCTCTTTGATAATCTTTAGAAAACCGAACAGGATCTATTGCGTGCTCTGGTCTCGTGTCTATCGACGTCCATGGAGGACCTTCCAGACACCAGTGGTGTGGAGTCTGTGCCCATCTTCTCAGATGCCTGGCTCAACACCGATACGGCGGGGGACATTGCCGGGGTGGACAGCGGTTCTTGGCGTGGCCCTCTCCAGCCCCACCCGTCGCTAAAGGTAGCCCGGACATTGGCAGCGTTCCCCATCATGCCTTCGGATTGGGATATGGCTGAGGCCCGCTGGGAGGCGATGGCCGCCTTCCCTCCGTCGTCCCTGTCTGAGACGACAGGGGTGTCACGCGAAGCTGATGTTATTCAGGTCCTATGTAAGTCCACTTATACGTGGGATGTTGTCGCTTTGGTCCTGAATGTCTCCAACAGACCATACTAGTGTAGGATTACTATCCTCAGTGTCAAGTCGCTTGGACTTGCGCTCTAGGCGTCGACACTGATGCCACGAGTAGCGCCTACCTGCTACTTTTGTGTTTTGTGTTAAGGTCATGGACCGCAGGGTCACGGGTCGTCTGTTCGATCGATGATTCTCCACCTGATTCTCTTCGCCCTGACACACCATCCCAGTCCGTCAATCGCCCACTGGCTTCTAGGCTTCCGGAGTAAAAATGCCCGCAGCATCGCCATCACAACACTTCAGGTAATGGATTTACCCTCTTCTGTATGTGAAACTCCTGACTTGCGTGAACGTGGTTAAAGATATGTTGGTTGTGAAGTAGAAGGACACAACTCGGCTGCCTCATTCGCCACCACGAAGCCCCGTCGCGTCTATTCGTGATAGAGACTTAACCATGGAATGTATTCGCTCCGAGTTGTTGTAGCGATTTGGGAACGACCGCTTTGTGGAATCGACTTCCGGCGCTTGTTCTCTTCTTGCTTATTTAACTAGACATGATATTTGGTGATTGCGGATGGTTGTGTCTGACTTTCAATGGTGGCAGGTGCACACACTCTTGACGCTGCTAATGCTTCTTTTGATTTATCTAAACGCATTTGTGTGCTGGATTGATAGATTCACAATAGAAAATGAAAGTTATGCAACGAAAATCAAAGTATACTCTGTTCGCCAGCCAATCGTGGCCAGGTAGAAGCGTGGCTAACGCAGCCTACTACTATGAACTGACAACATTTTTGGCCTTTTCGATATTTGTAAACAGGTCGTAAAGTTTGGGATTTCAAACGCCCACTTCTTGAAAGCGCTCTAGTTGCTGAGTATTGAGCTACTTAAATTTGATATTTACGTGTTTTAAGTGAGCTGATTTTTGCAATGCAAGTAGGCATATTGGGTGCTCCAGCGTCAAGTGTAAAAATATTCTTGTGTATCCCCAATCGTACGTCCTATAAATTAGCTGAAATTTGACACGCGTAGGCACCGACGTAATTCTGATTTCCTACGTACTGGTTGATCAGCCTATTTGAAATCACATGCCTCTATCACATCCGATACACAAAGTTGTACTGAGTCCATGGTACGGAGTTTTCAGTCGCTTTTAATTTTACAGCGACAAATCCCTAGCAATTACATTAATTAGGCGATTAGAACATGGTCATAAATAGCTTCTTTTGAATGAACTTGGGCGTGTTTCGCTGCCATTCCTCTCGTCGTTCATCAACAGCACGACGCTCTCATGGACCAAATCATAATTTGAGGTGCAAATTGGTTGTTTTAAATATCATCATTACAAGAGGAGGTAGGATGAATGGAGGTGAGAGGAGTGAATAATCGCATCCATTGAAAGTGTTGCTATGTGGTTGGTGGGGGATCAAAGAGCAATCGTTGTTTGCAAGGTTCTTCCACATGGCCAACCAATAACTGTGGAGAC